TGTTGACCTGTTGACATGTTGACTTGTTGACATGTTGACCTGTTGACCCTCCATTCCATTTGGTTTAAGGAACCAGTTCCCCCGTTAAACTGCCAGAAACCCCTTGGTTTAGGTCAGATAGGGTTACCAAGATGACTCGCTATTTTCCAGAATAATGAGCAAGTTGTTTTTTTTCTAGAATTTCTCATTGCGTTCTGTTAACCGAGATGTGGATGTGAACTCCTGCTGGTTCACATCCAGTGCCTGCTGAACCAGCAGGAGGTTAAGTTGAGGCCTGTACCATCTCCCTACACCTACCCAGCCTCCTCTCCATGGCGTGTCTTCTATAACGTGAAAATTTTCTGTAAGGGGTGATGTGTCTGGGTCTTGGTTTTGATATCATCTGGTTCTGGTTCTGGTTGCAGAGGGACCTTGTGGAGGAAGTTGATGATGGTCCAAACAGTTCGACCCCAGATGCCTGGAGGAGACACCTGGACCAACGGCTGACTGCAGGTTGGTGTCAGAGCTCAGGTTCTGGTGTTGCTTTTGACAGTTCTGGCTCTGTGTTCACCTAGCTGTTCTGCTGCCAGGGGGTGCCGCTGAGCCTGATGGGTACCTGCAGGTGGCAGCGTTGGCCAGAAAGTGTCTGAACAGGCAGAGGAAGAAGAGACCGGCAATGACTGAGGTCAGAAACCTGAAAAAAACAACATGGAGGACAAGTTCTAGTTCAAGTTCTCATCCTAAACTAGAACAAACTAATCAGTGTAGATCTCTACACTGATCTCTGAGTCTGCAGGACTCAGGTCTGGACTCTCCCAGGTTCAGGTCTAGACTCTACCAAGTCTAGACTCTACCAGGTTCAGGTCTAGACTCTACCAGGTCTAGACTCTACCAGGTTTAGACTCTACCAGATTCAGGTCTGGACTCTACCAGGTCTGGACTCTACCAGGTTCAGGTCTAGACTCTACCAGGTCTAGAGTCTACGAGGTCTGGACTCTACCAGGTTCAGGCCTAGACTCTACCAGGTCTAGACTCTACCAGGTTCAGGTCTAGACTCTACCAGGTCTAGACTCTACCAGGTTCAGGTCTAGACTCTAACAGGT